AAATTAACAAGCCTTCTCTTCTTCACCAAAGCCCCACTGAAAACGGTCCATCAGTTATACTAAATTAACAAGCCTTCTCTTCTTCACCAAAGCCCCACTGAAAACGGTCCATCAGTTATACTAAATTAACAAGCCTTCTCTTCTTCACCAAAGCCCCACTGAAAACGGTCCATCAACTCTTGGTCTTCTGGAATAGTTGGAACTTTGCTCAGAGATTTCTTCCTCTGACGAACTTTTTGAGCTCTTTCTTCGTGTGCGCGAAGTTTACTCTGTAAGGCCTGAAGATGTTTCTCCCTGAAAAAAAACAACAAAACCAAATATAAGTTTACATATTTCCTGAAAGGAAAGAAAGATTATTCGGTTTGATAAACATAGACAACTTTGTGTTTACGTTTTTTTTTGTTGTTTTTTTTTTACTTGCCAATGAAATCTCTTGGTGACCAAAAAAAAAAATATTTGGAATATTTTTTCGTTTGTTTAGAATTACACGTAAACCTACTCGAGAGATGTCGTTACTAATTTTGATGTGGTTTTGTTTTGTTTGTTTTGAATTTCGCACAAAGCTACACGAGGGTTATCTGCGCTAGCCGTCCGTAATGTAGCAGGGTAAGACTAGAGGGAAGACAGCTAGTCATCACAACCCACCGCAAACTCTTGGGCAACTCTTTTACCAACGAATAGTGGGATTGACCATTACATTATAACGCCCTCACGGCTTAAAGGGCGAGAATATTCGTGGACAGGATTAGAGCTCGCGACCCTCAGATTGCGAATCGAGAGCCCTAACTATCAGGCCCAAAATACTGTGAAAAAATTATAAACTTTGTTCGTTGGTTCATCGAAAAAAAACCGAAAAAAAACATCGTGATTAGTATACTACTTGAAGACATTTGAAAGAAAAATCAGATGATCAATCGAAAAAAAAATTCTCATCTAAACCAGTTGGGTTAAATGGTTAGGCCTAATGCAATTGTAGTGCATGATTAGGCCTAACTAAACCCGTCACAAAATCTTTTACAAAACCAACCTATTATAAAATGGTTAATCGTAACCTATTTTCTTGACGATATTGATATCTTTTACATCTAATTTTCCACTAGCTACCTTTTTACGAATGGTTCTACTTTAGTGCTATGTAACACTGAAACTCTAAAAATTACTTTTATTACAATCTGTCTGACTTTCGTATAATCTCTGCTATTCATAAAGCTTGATAGGCCAGTAAAAAGCTTTTTTACAACAACAAATTAATTTTTAACGGGAAAATAAACCTCTCTGAGAATTATCTGTCGTTTTTAAAGTCTTACATTTATTCTGTTTATACAATATCATCCATTCATCGAACTTAGAAAATAATACATGATAATAATAATAAATGTCATTCCACAAAGGTGTTCACAATTATGGTTTAAGGCTGTAGGTATTTTAATAATAATAATAAATGTCATTCCACAAAGGTGTTCACAACTATGGTTTAAGGCTGTAGGTATTTTAATAATAAATTATTATTATTAAAATACCTACAGTCTTAAACCATAGTTAACACCTTTGTGGAATGACATTTTTATTATTATTAAAATACCTACAGTCTTAAACCATAGTTGTGATGTCATTCCACAAAGGTGTTCACAACTATGGTTTAAGACTGTAGATATTTTCATTGTAATATGTATTTCTTCTTCCTAGAATGTTCATCTTTATCAATAAAGTATTTAATAGCAACTACAAATTGAATAAAAATAATATATTATTTCATATTTGTCTGAAACACAATAAAATAAATTAAAATATTCTATTTAAGATCTGAACATATATATTTATATTTTACAAATCATTCCCCGTAACAGCAAACAAATCAATAATAAGAACAACAAGCTTTCCAATATGACTATTCCATTGAAATTTTACGGTCGGTTTTTCAGTATAAAACGGCCCCCTAGAATATAAATGTGATTCATCCTCAAAATTGACTTTAAATAAATAAAATAAAACAGAATCTTTAAAATTAACAAATATTTGGATAAAAACTAAAGTTAATGACTTAAAATACAGTTTTCTTAAGCTTATATCGCGTTTAATTTATATTTGAGTTTCGTGGTCTTTTTAATGTAGGTCATTACACTCCCGAAATGATAACCAAAAGGATATAAAACTGTCGTAGGTACCACAAGATTATTTTATCTTAGATTTACAGAAGACATTCGTCTTTTTAAACAGTTTTTTTCTAAATCATTTTAGCAATGAAATTCGAAAAAAATTTACCTTTACTCAACTGATAATAATAAAAAAAAACTTTGTATTTCTGCTAGCATTTCGTCATTGCGACTTCATCAGGGCCAGTAGTACAAGTACTTGTAGTAGTTCTTCTACTACTAACCTTGATAAAGCTGCATTGGTGAAACGTTGACATACATAACAAGTTTTTTATTATTATCAGGAGAGTAAAAGTAGTTTTTTTTAATAATTTTATTGCTCAAATGTCTAAATTCCTCCAGTATGCACTATTAGTCCTTAAAACAACGAAACATTTTTCTAAATTATTTCAGCATAAAATTACTTGTTGGATTCATGACTTGGTTGACTGCAGGCTCCCTAATAATACTTAAGACACCAAAAAAATTAAAAACAATGCTGTGATTAATCCCACTAATTTAAGCTCAATATATTTCACTTTCAAAGTAAGTAACCCTAATTCTTGGGGAAATTATTTTACATCGAGTGTTTTCACAAGAAGAAACATAGGCTTACTCTACATGATTCAGCAAGTCGTCAAGGTTTGTTTTTTTATATTTCTAACTTAATTAATATAATGTTTTCTATATATAACTCCACCATTATTGTCATTTGCCAGTGAGAAACCTGTAGATGCCCAAAAACTAAGCGAATTTCTAAAAATGGCTTTTTTTAGCATATGTTCCTTTTTTCTTCATAATCTGCTCTGGCTGTGACATATATATATATATTAATGATTTTATTTTTCACTTTTTTAACTTCATTTTAGCTTCATTCAACCATTTATTCATGTTACTGAAAACCGTTTGTTTATCGGTAACTGATAAGAATGAAGGAATTATTAAATGTAACAGTTTGAAAGAAACAATGTGAAGTTAGTGATAGATGAACATTAAAATCTAACTCAAATTGTACATAATTATTTCCGTTGGTTTAAAAATTAAAAATTAAACAGTTACTCTTAGTATTTTTAATCGATAATATTTTTTCAATTGTTTATTCCGCTAATTGTTAAAAATATATATAATTGTTTAACTGGGTCGTAACAACACTTCCCACGCACAATTTATCTAATCACTTCATTAAATGTTGCTGCATCCCTGATTTAGATGGGCGATTATAGGGGGAAAAAAAAGGGAATTATTTTTAATTGGGTAAAAATGTTCCCCATCTGCATTCCTGAGTAATAAAAAGAGATCCCCATCCACGCTCAACGACCCGAAATTATCTTACAACAAGAAAAAGGAATGTAAAATAGCCGTTAAATTTAAATTCTGTTATCAGTTCTTCCCAAGTCATAAAAAATTATGCTCGTATAAGAAGCTTGCGGAATTTCAATAAAATGATATTTAAACGAAATTGTTATCTTCTCCTTGGAGATGATCGTTTATTTAATGCCAAGTTGAAATTGTCTACATAGTTTGTTAATATCACAGTTTCAGTCTTCGCAATATTTTACACCGCCTCCTACCGGTGGAGCTCCATCAAACTGGATATTTTTTTGTTTTTGTCTGTCCTAAAAATCAAGGTAAAGAAGTGATCAAAATATGTAAAATGCATAGGAGTGGTAACAAAAAATAGTGGGATGAACTGGAACATTGATGATGATTCAGATACAATTAGCGTATTCAACGAATTCATGGACTCACAAACAATTTAGCAAATAAGTTGTTTAGAAAAACGTGGTTAAATAGCCTCATTTTAGGGTTAAATAGTCTACAAGCTATTATTTTGAACCGAATAACTTCGACTTAAACCAGGTGATGATGAATGATTTCATTAAGGTATTCGACTTTCTGCCAAGAGTGGTATTATGAAGACCAACGTTTTTATTGTTTGTTTGTTTGTAATTAAGCACAAAGCTACACCATGGGCTATTTACGCTCTGCCCACTACGGGTATCGAAACCCGGATTCTGGCGTCGTAAGTCCGCAGACATACCGCTCTGCCACTGGGGGGGGGGCACGTTTTTTATAATGATTTTGTACAGAGTACATATCACTGAAACCTGGAATACGTAATGATTTTGTACAGAATACATATCATTGAAACCTGGAATACGTAATGATTTTGTATCCTTGAAACCAACAAACCTGCTTTTTGTTATAGCTTCCATTTTCTCGTTTTGTTTCAGTCTTTTTTCTTCAGCTTGCTGAACAACTACATTTGACACCTCATCAATTCTTTCCTTTGACGTCACCTTACTCAGTCTCTCTTCTTCTTGTTGCTGAAAGTCGTAATAAATGATAACATAATAGGTTAGAAGGGAATTTATAGTAAATGGTTAGTATCAGGGGTTGAAAGGATAATACGTGATAAACTAAGATATCACGATTTGAAGGGTAATAAATGGGAACTATTATTTGTGTGCTAAGTTATAGTGGCAGCGCGTGCACTTATTGGTATTTTTAACCTAAATGGCACCTTATGAAACGTATGGACTAAACGGCCAGGTTAGAGAGGCCAAGGCCTAATTTTTGGCTATTGACCATACTGAGGCAGCAAGTCAGCAGCATCGGCCACTACAAAAACTTTGAATCACACAGTGGGATTTACTGTCAATCTTATAATGCACTCAGTGCTAAAAGTGCAAAGATTGTTCAATATCAGTGCGTTTCGAACCCCGAACCTTTCGACCAGCAACCATTACGACAAACCGAGCTCTATAACGTTAAGAGTAGAGGGAGTTATTGCATCAAACGTATCAAATATGGTGAGCACATATTACAACAATAGTAATTTACCAAGACCTCCAGTTTAAGAAAGATTGAAACTACTTTTAATATTTTTACATTCCAAATAAGTTTGTGGATGTTTGAATTGTTTACAAATGCTGGCGGATTAATGTCCGATTATTTCAGTTGTAGAGCATTTGAATTGTTGACAATTGCTGGCGGATTAAGGTCCAATTATTTCAGTTGTAGAGCATTTGAATTGCTGACAATTGTTGGCGGATTAAGGTCCGATTATTTCTGTTGTAGAGCATTTGAATTGCTGACAATTGCTGGCGGATTAAGGTCCGATTATTTCAGTTGTAGAGCATTTGAATTGCTGACAATTGCTGGCGGATTAAGGTCCGATTATTTCAGTTGTAGAGCATTTGAATTGCTAACAATTGTTGGCGGATTAAGGTCCGATTATTTCAGTTGTAGAGCACTTACAGGTTGAATTATGACAGTGGGAGACGCAAAAAAAAATCTGTCATTCCCCAAACCTGACATGAGGCTCGAGGACAGGCCTTGTTTGTGAAAGAGGGGGAGCTTGTTGTTGTTTGAGTTGTCAATTAGTGCCTTACAAGCGACTGCTAGCGAGTTGATAATCTTTACTTCACGTGGTAAATTACTCATTTTGGGTGCGGGAAAAATCCTGTTTAACCATACTCGACAGGAAAGAAGCATTACTAATAAAAAATAAACATATATATAAACAAAAACAACAGCATGTAATCTATTATATACCACAAACTGACAATAAATTGTTCTTGAACTATATATAAATATAACAAAGTAAATCAAAGATTTAATAAATAGTCTTTTAATTTAAATTTGTTTAATGTTTTTATTTATCTTGCATTATTGAGTATTATTATTGAGTTATTGAACAATGATCCATTGGATTTTTTGAAATGGTATGTGTAAATCAGCATTATTCTTGAATTATAACTGTTGAAGAAAGGAGACTGGGCATATTGATTAATTTTTTAACCATAAACATTAAATTACCTACTAGATAATAATTCAATTAATATTTAATATTTTGTTTTTATGAAATAACTGATACACAGAATATCGATAGATTAAACCAAAACTACTCTCACAGGTATTTTCATTTTTTGGAGAAGTATCCAAGGATTTATAGTATATTCTGACGAACCATTAAACATATGTTTCCTGTTGGGACAGAGGTAAGTTTATGGACTTACAATGTTAAACTCTGGGGTTCTATTTCTCATGGTGGACACAGCAGATACTCCAATATGACTTAACAGTTAAAATTGTAGTATGATTTGCAAATAAAATATGCTTTATATCAAATAATAAATCCGAAATCTCATTAACATACAAAACAACAGTGGTCCTACTTGTATTTATTAATTCATCAGTATTTTTTAACTCTCGAACTGACCATACAATGTATATTTTTACAAAACCTTATGATTTAAACAATCAAATGCTTTAGATAAGTCCGAACCACTGCAATCAGAAATTCAACTTTTTCGTATTATTATTACTGAAAAAATCACATCAAATTTAAACAGCTGGTTGAATTGATTAGACCTTACGAAATCCATAATCATAATTGGATAATAAATCAAATTCATTATCTGGTGCTCTCGTTTTAAAAGTAGGAAGGGTAATAATCCAAAGAAAAGTACTGTTAATTATAAAAACAGTGTTACTTGATCGTAATAAAATGAAAGAAAAGCATCGTAAATATTAAAACAATTGACTGATATGACAAGAGATTTAGAAGACTACAGAAGATTAAGATATTTGGTCAAACAGAAAATCAGGACATTACAAAAGGACGTACGAAAAAGGTTGACTGAAAATGTAAAAATGAACAGTAAGGGTTTCTTTAAATATATTAAGGCTAAACAAAATATTAGGATGGGGATAGGACCCTTGAGAGATAATAAGGGAAGACTTATATCTGACGATTACAAGATGGCTGGGTTATTTAATTCTGCCTTTTCTTCAGTTTTTACTGATGAATAATTAAGCAGTATTCCTCATCTTCGACAGTTGATAGATGGAAACAAGGTCGGACAATATTACTGCATTAATTCTGAGCTTGTTGAGAAAAAATTATGAGACTCCTGTGCCAGATAATATTTCCCCAAGAGTTTTGAAAGAGGATAAAAGTTGGATATGTGAGCCACTTACTCCTATTTTGTGTCAGTCCTTGAACAGTGGGCAGGTACCAGAGGATTGGAAGTTAGCTAATGTAACTCCTCTTTTCAAGGGAGGTGATAAAAATTGTCCCCGTATTTATAGTCCTATTAGTTTTAGAAAAAGTTTCGGAAAGTCTGATAAAGGATGTTTTGGAAAGTCATTTAACAAAGTTTAGAATTTTATTGGATAGTCAACATGGTTTCACTGAGGGAAAATCTTGCTTTACAAATCTTTGTTAGTCTTTGAAAAGGTTGCTTCTGTAGATAAGGTAAGGGTGTAGATTTGGTGTATCTGGATTTCCAAAAAGCCTTTGACAAGGTGCACATAAAATGTTTGTAATACAAATTATCTCTATAAGTGTGTAGAATAAGTTAACAAATTGGACAGAAAAGTGGCTAGATGGAAGAAAGCAGAGGGTTTTTACAAATGGGGTTCAGTCAAACTGGATTAATGACAGAAGTGGGGTACCTCAGGTCTCAGTCTTAGGACCTTTGCTCTTTTTGATTTACATCAATGAAATAGATGAAGAAATGGTAAACAAATTACTTAAATTTACTGATGATATTAAGGTCTTGGGTATTGCAGACTGTGAAGAGGATGCTGTTGATTTACAAAAGGTCTTAGATCATTTAATGAGTTGGCTAAATAAATGGCAGATCGGTTTTAATTATAATAAATGCAAGGTAATGCACGTGGGTTATCATAATTTAAATTATAAGTATAATTTGGATGGGAATAACCTTAACAGTGTCATGAAAGAAAGGAATCTTCGTATTGTGGTTGATCTCTCTCTTAACCCATCCAAGCAGTGTGTTGTTGCTAATGAGTGGGCAAATAATATTTTAGGTCTTATCTACAAAAATATTGAATACAAGTCTAAAGAAGTTATAATTTCATTGTATAGGACACTGGTTAAGCCACATTTAGAACATTGTGTTCAGTCTTGGGCTCCTTACCTCAGGAAGGACATTGAATTGTTGGAAAGGGTTACCAGAATGTTGCCTGGGATTGAGAGATTGTAATACAAGAAGACTTTGAAATCTCTCAATTTGTTTTCTCTTTAAAAAGCAAGAGTTAAAGGGGGATATGATTGAAGTATTTATGATTGAAATGGAAATTGGTAAATGTTGATGCATCATCTTTTTTCCTACTTGACGGCGAAAATAGTAGGCTTGTTTTTGTTTTTGAATTTC